TGTTTTCTTCGTCCGGGGAAATTCAACTTTTGTGAAGAGAAAGGAAGAAAAAGTAGAAATCGTTCTGTACTGCAGCGCCAATTAAAGCCGGCCAGCAAGTGCACGGACCATGCCCGATGCGGCGCCTCACGTGAACGGTTGATCTTTGTGGCTGCATGTGGCATTAACGAGATGCCTGTGACATCGAAGATCGGGGGGTTTCTTGCTTAGCTGACGACGACAAAGACGAATGCGACCGACGACGACAAACTCTTTTCTTCCAACCACTGGAATCAACACGCATAGTAACTAATAAGCTTTCCCCTATTTGTCGCTTCGGCCCGATACTCCTTTTGCTGTCTGCATTCCGGTCTTTTAGGTTGCCTCTCATACTCGCCTCGCCGTTCAACGCAATTCCGCCAACATGTCTAACCCTCTCGACACCGAGGCTGGCTCTGAGCTCTTCAGCTCCTACGAAGCAGAGCTTAAGCTTGTACAGGCCGATCTTCTACAGAAACTGGATCAAATCCCAGAGTTGTCAGGGGATCCCCGCAAAAATGCAGTGTCTCAAGCCGAGCGAGCTTTAGAGGAAGCAGAGGAGCTTGTTCGTCTGTCCACTGTATCCTGGTGTTTGTTTTTCCTTCACAATCAACAGAATCTAACCCTATCATAGTTGGGATCTATGCGCCTAGAGAAACAAAACATTCCAACATCCTCACGAGCCAAGGTCAATCAACGATTCCGCAACTACGAGCAAGATGTCGACTCCCAGCGCCGGAAGCTGAAGTCCTTCTCTAATGATCACCAAGGATATGCATCACGATACAGAGATGAGCCTGAAGGCTCAGCAGATGCTCATCTTGAGCAACGCCAGCAGTTGCTCTCCGGCACGGACCGTCTCGATCGAAGCACCCAGAGGCTAAAGGCTAGTCAGCAATTGGCGTATGAAACAGAGGCTATCGGAGCTAGCACACTAGCCGACCTGTCATCTCAGCGCGAGAGAATTCAGCAGACGCATGAGACCTTGCTCAATAGTGAAGGCTACGTCGACAGGAGTGTAAAGACGTTGCGGGGGATGGCTCGCAGGTAATGGAGATTTCTTGAGAGCCCTTGCCTGAACGTACAGTGTGCATCAGAGCTAACAGCGAGACTTTCCAGGATGGCTACGAATAAGATAATTACAATTGCCATTATCACTGTTCTCGTGCTTTTGATTATCGCAGTCATCATCAGCAAGTTCAGGTGATTTGTGTTTTAGCAGTTTGGAGTTCGGGTCATGCATATGGCGACGCTGGCTTTGCCTGATTGTTATTCATGTAATGGTATCCCTTTTTGTTTGTGGAGCCGTAGTGGTTATCCCCGTGGTATTGGCCGCTTTGGAGTGACAGGAGCTAGACTTTGATACGAATACAGCGAGTAGTTGGCCCGTCATTTGACTGCACAAGGATATCATCCACCGACTCCCATCCAGCTGACACAAAGTCATGTAGCTATGGACAGCCCTGCCCTGTCAAACAGCTTAATGCCAAAGCCTTCGGATGATTACGGCAAGAATTACAATGCTCCGGCCATTTCATCCAATACTCTAACACAAACCCTCCGGCAACAGCAGTTGGTTAGGAGAGCAAAGCAGGAAGCCAGTAAAAGCATATAGGGTAGCTGACTTTACAAAGTGCGAGGTGGCACACTGCTACTCCGTGGCAGGTCCTCTGTGTGGGGCTTTGCCGAACAAATCCCGTTGTACAACCGACCGCAGGCTGTGCCGGGGAGCTCCCAACCTCTTCGCGAGGCGGAATTCACCACACAAACCTTTCCCTGCACAAACCATCTTCCCTCAACTCCACACGCCTACTGCATCACGTCGTCGCGCGCCTCCCTCTCCAAGCGTCGACTCTCTCTCCCTCTAGCTCTCAGTACACTGTACTGCAGACAATCTACGACTGTCATCTGCAATTTCTCCTTCCTCCTTCCCCGCAGCTTGCTACGTGCTTAACGTGGCGGTTTTGCAGCCATGTCTGAATTCTTAGGGTACGCCAGAGCAAATTTTGCGTCTTGACCGCGTACCTCCTCTGACGGTATCTTAGCTCTCGCATCTCACTGATATCCAAGAGCGACATTCGGTAAGTTCCCAAGCCTATCCATTGGGCTTATTGCGACGTGACTCGCTGACCGGTACTGCAGCTATGCTGGAACTCTACATGAAATCAACTCGGATGAGTCTACGGTATCCCTCGAAAATGTTCGTTCTTTCGGCACCGAGGGCCGAAGGGGAAGACCCGAGGAGGAGATTTCCCCGTCTGACCAAGTGTATGAGTACATTGTGTTTCGTGGCAGTGACGTAAAGGATCTGCGAATCGAAGAACATCCTGGTATCAAGGAGACAAAACCTCCCGCCATGCCAGATGACCCAGCCATTGTCGGAGTAAGTACAGCACATCGCATTGAGATCCCCTCCTAGTCCATTGTGTGATGAAATATTTGCGGATGTAAACATTTGTCATATCGGAAAGCGCAAAAAACAATGTCGAGATTTCCGTTGCCTTCCTTCTGATCTTGGGACAATTTTTCCTTTACTTTTTATTCAAACCCGTATTTGCCATGAAGCGAAGCTGACCAGCATATTAAGGCTCGAGCTAGAGATGTTCAACAACCACAACAACCCTCGAATGGAGGGTTCCAACCTCCCTACCCTCCCCAAAACAACTTCTATGGCGGACCGCCACCACCCAACTCTTGGGGTCGCGGCGGCGGCCCTGGCCCTATGCCAGGCCCTGGCTTTGCCGGAGTACCTTACCCTCCGCCTCCGGGATGGTTACCTCCTGGTCAAGGATTCCCGCCAGGTCCAGGACCCTGGAGCAACCCTCAGTTTCCTGGTGGCCCTGGCGGTCCTCCAGGACCAGATGTAGCCCAAAGGGGCCTGCCCTCTGGCCCGTCGCAGGATGTCAAATCAGGCACAGGTGCAGATCCAGCGAAAACATCTGGCCCCGTACCGACTGAACCAAAGTCTCTCGCCCAAGGTGGACGACAACCTGCCAATGCACCAAATCCACCAGTAGATTCCAAACCCTCAGCTGAGGAAGTAAAGGCTGTTGCCACGAACCTAAGCAATGGCTCTGCATCCGCCAAGAACAAGGCACATACACGGCCCACACCTGTTGTTCCCCTTACGGGCAATGCTCCGAAACCTTTTCAACTTCCCAATACTGGGAAACCAGCTCCTTCTGCCAGTGCAAGGACTGCCTCAACTGCGGCACCACCTAGTGTTGAAGATGCCACTAGTGCCGCCCGGGCTGCAGTTGCCGTTGCAATGGCCCAGCTTGGCAATAGTGGAAGTACCGCCATGGACAACCTGACGAGCAAAGTCAACGAGATGCGAGTCCATGCCAACAGGGGAACGTCGAGCAGCCGTGGCCGTGGGCGAGGCGGGCGACAAGGAGCTGCGAAGGTTGAAGTCCCTGACTCTGATTTCGATTTCGCTCAGTCTAATGCGAAGTTCAACAAGGAGGATATTGTCAAGGAGGCTATTGCTAGTGGCGATGTAATCGAATCTCCAAGCGAGACTGTTATCAAAGAACCTGAGACACACCCAGGTAATACTGATCCTGCTGGTCCCTACAACAAGTCAAGATCATTCTTCGACAACATCTCTAGCGAATCTAGAGAGAGAGCCGAAAATGGTGGCCAGAAACCTGGTGGGCGAGAGTGGCGAGGAGAGGAACAGCGCAAAAATATGGAAACTTTCGGCCAGGGTAGCGTTGATGGTGGATACCGCAACTACCGTGGCCGCGGACGAGGCCGTGGAGGCCGTGGCAGAGGAGGATATGGCCGAGGCGGACGTGGTGGTAACCGCCCACAATATCCGGCGACTGTCGCCGACCAGTAAAGACGAAGAAGAACGGCGAGACCTGCCCATGACGATGACTGGGCTATTAATAGCCGCCTTCCATCTATTATCAACGACATGAACATTCTACAACCTTTGGGAAGCATTCTGGACGCTCTATGATCTTAACAAAAGCACATATTCTCTTGTGTCTCATTCGTGCCTTGATTCTTTCTTTCTTTTCATCATCCGGGTTTGTAATAGTGTAACAACATATTTGGGATCTTTCTAAGGCGCACTGTGGCTCAAGCGACCAGGTGCAGGATGCGCATGTCTTTTTAGGCGGCAGTGGGACATGAAAAAAATGATTTTCTTCATGGAAGATCAAACAAGCAATGGGAGTTTGGATTTGGATTTACGCAAGGGATGAGGGGGCAGGTTAACGTGAAACATGACGCACGCTGCATGGCTGGAAAGACGATTACTTCCTTTTAGTTTTTGATACTCTTCACAAAGCGGGATTGCAGGCTGACATCTTCAATGACGTCAAAGCCAAAAGTGTAAACCAATGGTCCGTGACCTCTAAATTTGGAAAATGTGCTTGATTCAAAATAGTGCTGGGCTTCTCGCAACTGGAAGGATTGGCCACTATCAGAGAATATGACTATCGAGCTCAAGTTGTAAATCCAGAAGCATGTGCATGTGAATGTGATTATCCTGGACAAAGATTAGACTCTTAGCATGACCTCGCCATGCGTCGGACATGCTGGTAATGATTAGATGTACAAAAGATGAAATGGTATGAGTTGTTGCAGCCGTGGCCCTTGGGTACTTCGTGGGTGAACAAAGGCAAACATCGAAGGAGCCCGTACAATTCAGGATCGTTATTTGGTTGGTCTCTTTGAAGGCGGCAGGAGTTGGAGTTATGTGTGTGGTGGACAGAAACCCCACCAGACCAGCTCGGCGTGACACAAAACTGCTCCGAAGTGCCACATCAAGGTGATCAAGCATGATTGGGTTGAACATGGCCAACTTGCTTGTCCTTCGACGCACTTCCGCTTCTATTGTCGCCCATCTGTCAAACTTGTGTGTGAATGCAGCCAGTCTATCGGCATTGGATCTATCTTGCGTCTGATATCTGGCCGCAGTCATCGAATTTGCAACTACGACCCGAGCGACAGGCAGTCTGCACTGCGCCATGTCGAGTAGACAGCTACGCAAGCTCCAGCAGCAAAAAGAGCTGGAGAGAGCTCAACTAAATACCCAAGAGGACCCCGAGGCGGGCGAAGATGTCGAAGAGCCTGCCAAAGCGGCGCCCAGGCCACGCCCGAACCTGTTCGCAGCCTTGGGAGGCGAGGATAACGGCGAAGAGGAGGAGAAGGAGGAGGACAACGGCGTGCCGTTAATCGAACCGCCAGAATTGCCTACAGCCGAACCAGCTCCCAGCGGCCCGAAAAAGAGCAGGAAGAAAAAGAAGAAGAGTAAAAAGGCCAAGACTGCCGCTACGACCCAGGCAGCTCATGAAAACGCCAAGGAGGACGAGGACGAGGACGAGATTGACAAGGCCATCAAGGAGCTCAAACTTGGCGCTTCGAAGATGAATTCTGGTTTCGGGAAAGATAAGCAAGACAGCGAAGCGGTAGGGCCACGGAAGCGAATGAATGAGCTGCTATCCATCAACCCGTACCACCTGAAAGCCATCAACGAAATGCGCAACCTATTCGGCCGCGAGGTCATCGAGTCCGCCAACGCAGAGGAGCAGCAAGAGCAGCAGAACCGCAGAAGGCGGCAGCATGTGTCCCGACAAGTTGATCTGGAGACGTATCTGCGAGAACCGCCTGGCGCCAAGAAGCTGCCTGAAGTATCGCTACGACGGAATATATTTGTGCAGGGCAAGGATCACTGGCCACGCCAGTCGGCGGGCGGTTTGACCATGAAGGAGATTGGCAAGTCGGACGATGGATTGTCGACTGAATACGCGTATCTTCACGATGACAATTATGATTCCGTGCAACGGGTTTTCTGGGCCTTGGTGCAAGTCGGAGATCCAATGCGCATGGTGCATTTGCTCAAGGAAGCTCGTAAGTACAAATCTTTGTTGACATATTTCTTTATTTCCTTACTATTATTTATTTCTCCCCTGAAGTTTTCACCATTGGAGAGGAAAACAAAGCTAATATGAGTGGATTTCTTGTGCAGCATATCATGTTTCAACACTACTCCAAGTCAGCAGTGTAGCAAAGCAGGACCAAAACATGGCATTGGCGGCGGAACTTTGCGAACGAGCGCTATTCACCTTTGGGAGAGTAACCACATCTGCATTTCGCCAAGACATCGAGCACGGCCGTGCTCGTTTCGACTTTGGACGCCCGGAGAATCGCCAGTTCTGGCTTGCCGGGTTTCACTACCTGCGCAGCTTGATACGAAAAGGCACTTTTCGGACGGCTCTTGAATGGGCCAAGCTGCTGTATTCTTTGGATCCACAGGATCCATACGCAATGAGACACTATATTCACTTGCTGGCTCTGCGAGCCCACGAGTCAAGGTGGTTGATTGACTTCACCGAGCAAATGGAGCTTGTTGCAGATCACCCAGACATTGTCTATCTGCGACAAAGCCTCGTGCTCGCCAAGCTCCAGATCAATGACGGACGCGGGACTCGGGAAATTCTCCAACATGGGATTAAGACGGTGCCCTGGCTGTATTGCGCCTTGTTCCAGGAGCTAAATCTCGATGCACCGCCTTCCATATGGGGCATCAGCGCAGACTCGGATTCCCGAAAGTTCTGGGTGAAATTGTACATTCACCAGACCAGGGATCTGTGGAACAATGCCCAGGCCACGGCGTTGTTGCAACAAGTAGCCAAGGGTCTGGACAAGGTGGACGTGGCGTCTCTTCCTTTGCAGGACCCGGTCGTCGATCGCGGCGTGACGAGATTAGCCTACCTCGAGGGTCAAACGGCACTGCTTGCCGTGGCGCCGCGGGATCTGTTGGATGCACAGCCAAATTACGAATTTGATCCCTTGCCGCCACCGCTGGAGCAGAATGTTTTCACGGCGCAAAGTGCACGACTACCTTGGGGACAGGCTGGGGGCAGTCACGAGGAGGAGGATGAGCACGGGGGCCACGGCCGTGTTGCAGATCTAGTGGCTCGCATGCAAAATCAGCTGGCTCAGCGAGGCGTGGCGCCAGGGGGAGGAATGATGGGCATGATGAACAATGCCGTGGAAGAGGACGATGACGATGACGATGACGATGAAATCAGGGCGCTGAGAGAGGCAGATGATGAAGAGTTGATGAGGGACATGGAGGCCTACGTGAGTTGGGGTAGAGAGCAGGGCATTCTGGGCCCATTAATGCAGATGCTGGGCCACCTGGGTGTTGGTCGACGGGCTAATGACGATGAAGAGGATGAAGAGGATGCGCGATAGGAGGAGACAGGCACGAAGCGGCTGTTGAAAAGGCACTTGTTGTGTATGCTAGGAGTTGCAATAGTGGTATGATTCCAACTTTGGGCTTGGGATCATCACGGCGTCTGCAGGATGAAACAAGACCCGAATTGAAGGCCAGAGAAGGGTCTCTACGGAGTACGACGACAAGATCTACCGGGCATATGGCAACATGCCAAGGCCCACAGTCATGCAGTAACCCCAAGACAGCAGAGCAGCGTTGCACTACAACAGTTGCACTCGTGGAACGAAACATGTTCAGGTTAGATCCCGATGCCCAGCCAACAAGCACATCCCTGGCATTTAACATTGCGCCGTGCGAAAACTTGGGTTCGGATTCTCGCCGATGCCTGAGCGGATCCCCCACAACCCGCACTAAAACTGCCTGAACAAAAAGGAAAGAAAAAAAGCTAAAATCCATGGCCATGCGCTGCTCCCAGCTTCCGGACAAAGAAAACATGACACACATGGTATTGTACATATGTACAGCTGGTTTGGTGGGGGAAAAGATAACACACAGACAAGGGCACGAGACTGGTCTAGAAGATGCATATCCCGGATGGCGGCGGGGGCAAGTGTAGTACCATCTGATAATATTACCCTGTACTCTGTACTCCGTACCCAAGGTGGCATTCCTTCCTTCCCTCTCTTCCGTGTCTGCCCTCGGCAAAGGGGTATTTCCGGGCAAATTAGGCGACGGAGAGTCCGAATGCCTCCATTCGAACATGGGAGAAAACATGGATATGTGATTCGTGCGGCAGAGACTGGCGTCCTGTTCCAAGACATTGTGGGCTAATTTTTTAATTTTTTTTAAAAAAGCGCAAAACGCCTCTTTTTTTTTTCCTCACAGAATCGAGGGGCTCAGAGCCAATCCGTAAGAAGCGGTTGATTAGACATTCTCGGCTAATATGCGACTGGCTGACAGGAGGCTGTCTAAATATAGCAACCGAGAATGAAAGAAAATGAGGAACAGCAAAACGGCTTCATGCAGATCAGGATAAAGATGTATGTACATGCGTGCGTATGTATATACATGTATGTATACTGACGGGTTTGGCATCGGCAGTGGACTGGGGCTGTCGTGATGGGAAGCGTACAGGGTAGTTCTGGCAACTTTCTTCATTCGCTGCACGTAGATAGGAGGAGCAATTTGGAATATCCAGTCGGCAATGACATCGACTTTCCCAAGCTCCATTCGCCGTGGGGCATATCTACTAGTTCCATGGCCTCGCCAAGGTCTGGTCGTTCTTATGCCACTGCCCTGGCCATCGGAGTCTGCTCCATCAATCAGGTCGCACTGGCTGCCAACTTGAGTAGAGCAATTGGCTATCCCACAGATGCCTGACGTGCGATGCTACTGCTCCAACACAACTGGACTCGGCTTCGGGTCAGTGTCGGTCGAGGTAGTACCAGCTCGGAGGGAGTCAAATTTGGCAGCAACGGCGCACGGGTTGCAGCAACATGCGCGTTTACAACACCTGCATTGCCCAACCATGCAACCGGTACAAACATCTGTCATTTTGGCTCGTGTCTGTGTAAGCGTTTCACTCCGTAGGTGGCCACACAAACGGCCAACATGCATATGGAGACATGGATTTCACCTCGTTCATTTACGGCCGAGTCGGACGAGACTGGTGGCGGGGCGGAAGCTTCTGACACAACCAGCAGCGCCAACACAGTCTTGTGTGGTGGTGTTGATGAAGCTGGCTGCTGTCACACGGTATCCCTGAACTTGTTTCATCGAGAGACGGAGGACGGTGCCGGTAGCTTGGAGAGGGCGATGACGGACGAGCTCATGTATGACATATAGCCCATGTTCTTTGTGGAATAGACGCAACCACGGCCAACTACACGCCGTCAGTCAGTAGTGCCGACCATTCGTTTTTTTTGCGGTTCGCCGAAGGCCCCTGTATTGAAATCTTCCATGCAGATCGAATTGTTTCCACTTTCCGCCATTCAATCCGTCGTACGGAGTAGTACAAGGACGAGAGCGAGTGGCAGGAAGGACATGCCAGAACAGTGCCTGAGAGACGGCTACCAGACACATCAATGTCCAGTTGTCCCCTCTTGACCCCACAAGTAGCGACTGGTCATTTTCCGACACCGAGGCACGAGACAGAATGTCCAAGGACAGCTGAGAGCACTTGTACGGAGTACGGAGTCGTAGTACTATGTATAATAGTTGTGATATATGCCGTGTTTCAAGGTCCGCGTCCTGGGGTCGAGCTCCAGCGGGGTCGATACAGCAATGAGTCGTGCTTCAAGACCTCCAGGTCACCACCACCCGCCGAGCCTGATTCCACAACACACCATGGCGATTGCTCGTTTACGGGAACTCCCGCATTTTCCGAAACAACCACCTTGGTGACGGCTTCTTTAAGCGGCCACAACATTACTCCGGTGGTAATGGGGATTTGAAGTGGTGACATCCATGCCCAAATCCAGAAAGCGATCTACCGAGTACCGAGTTTAAAATGCATAAATGGATGTGCTATGGTAGACTCCTCACGTCGACTTCGTGGTAACATCGCTTGCTATGCCCTTGTTAGGCGGTAATCAGTTCATGTAAGCTTCGGTGTGGCCCTGTAATAAGAAGGCATGACAGGGAATACGTGCCCTTGGATGGGCGGAAAACCTCGCATCACTGGCGGAAAGCTTGTTTTGTTATCGGTGGTCCGCGGTACACATATGTATGCACACCTTCGCATCTGGGAGGTCAGTGTCTCCACGACTCTTAAACGTCTTGGGCTGCGCCCTAACGGGCCAGGTCATGTTGTTATGTAGGCCTCTTCGGGTACGATTTCACAAAGAATGCCAGAAACAGGACGCGCGTCTGGCTGGTTTGCCGGCCAGGATACCGAGTAGTACTCCGGACACATCGACCGCTTTCAACGCCAATTCGAAGAACGAGCCTGCCATGAAGACGAAAACAAATACGTAGATCAGAAGTACTCCGTACTCCGTACCATGTGGCTTGGGTCCCCTTGGCCGCCTGGCAGCTCCTTCACACCCATCCCATGCAGAATCCCTGCACACCCTGGGGGCCATGCGGCGGCGGGGGTTTCCTGCCCAAAGCTGTCCATTCTGGTGGCTGTACCAGGGTTGTGATGGGGAGCTTGGCGTAAGGGGGAGGACAATGGGTTCAGACCTGATCACGATACACCGTGAACGAGTTGTACCGACGGACGGGCACGGGGAACAGCAAGGCGTAGCTTGCCAGGGTTTGACCATTGAATGTCTGTGGAAGATGACCCATCACTGCCACCCTTGCCCCAAGCGCGCGAGAGCCGACCGACTGCCTGCTCGCCTTGGCCCGGTTGACTGGCTTCCATGGCTTCCAGGTACTTTTGATATTCCGACAAATGGAGCGGCAGGGTCAGTCTGAACACTGGAGTATACTTGTGGATATACGGAATACATACAGCTGAGGCAATAGCGGTGGGCAAATATGTACTAGTACTTTTTGCCTTCCCCTGCACTTCATAAAGGCTCTTGAGGCGCCTTTGGAATCCAACACGTCGTATTCCGAACAAGTATGTGGCTGGCCTGTGTTGCAAGTTCCGCAATGACTAGAGAAGATATGGAATTTGCCACACTCCTGCCAGTGTCTCTCACCATTGACCTAACTCTGCGGTTAGTGGCTTGCTGTTGCATCTTCAAACAGGGGTGAACCCCCGACCGATTCGGCCGAGGCTCTGGTTGTGCAGTCCTGGGGCTCAGTACTCCGTAGTAGCAATACTACTACTAGTATCACTGCCCATTTGAGGTCACTCAGTGCCATGACCAGACGATGCGATACGCTTTGGAAAGAGTGCCATCATGGCCGCAGGTCCGCCAATTGGCACACCCTCTTCAGTTGGAAAGAAGCACCAATGGTCCCTTGGCTGCATGAGCTGGAAATATGACACCATGTGTACTTTGGTTTGGAATGGCGCTTGAAATGCAGCTTGGGAACACCAAAAACTCAGCTCATCATCAACGTTGGCTAGCAGTGGCGTGTCTGAGGTCGGTTCAGTAACTTACTTGGCTGTTGGTAGTCCCTTGCACACTGTCGACGTGTTGACTATTTGCCCCTCCTTTTCTCCTTCTCTCCTCTCTCTCTCCCTATGTACGTGTGTGTGTGTGTGTGTGTGGTGCGTGCACGGCCCATATCTGAAATGGAAGTCTCCGTTCTGATCCACGCAACCTGCCCCCTGATGGTAGTAGTTGTCCGTAAGGAACCACTTGGGCAGTGGAAACTTGAAACTATGTTATGGTCTCCCATCGCGTCATTTATCAACCCAAACTGAAATGCGCAGGTCGTAAATGTCAGTTGCGTGACAGGTGGCACAATAGCCATAATTGCGCTTCGTAGCGATGCGCAAAGCCGTTCTGTGATTTGGCGGGGTCTCGAGATAATTTAGGACTTTTTGTCCCAGCAAATTCGGCCATGGCTTACACCATTCGCCCCTTTCTGCTCTTAGCTATGGATTACAGTAAGAGGCAATAAGTACCTAGGTAGTTAGGGACGGTCTTGACCACCCAGTGCTGGAGAGTGACTCAAGGGGGCGTAGATACTTATTGCCTCCCGCTGTGCCAGCTATGTGATGGCCTCGAGGCTACTATTTGTAGGAGCCATCGGTGTCAGTAGTGTCCATACCGAACAAGAAACGAGTGCGATACGTCCCTGTACTAACATCTTTTGGAACTCCAGTCGACGCCCCCCCCAAAAAACAAGGCTGGCTCCCCGTTTTCCAATCTCCATTCTCTCGGCCGTTCATCACCGGTTGGTACCCACACGCCGCCCACCAGGTTAGGCCACCCCGAGAGGAGTGGAGAGAGACAGGAGGAAGCTGGGACAAAACGAAAAGCCCTCTGATAATATTTCTCCGTAATCCGTATAATTGTGCAGACTAGCCCAAAGACCGGAGAAGGGTACACAAGGTTAATGGAGTGGATAGCACGGAGCAATGCAACGCAGGGCGGACATGGCCTGGCTTGCC